GATGAGCTGTTCGACCGCCTAGCAGGCAACCGCTTCTTTACGAAGATTGATCTTCGTAGCGGTTACCATGAGATCCGCGTCGCTGCAGCCGACCAGCCGAAGACCGCGTTCCGATCACGATTCGGCCACTACGAGTTCACGGTGATGCCATTCGGCCTCACCAACGCACCCGCTACCTTCCAGAGGGCGATGAACGACATCTTCAAGGACATCCTGGAGCAGTATGTTCTCGTTTACCTCGACGATATCCTGGTCTATAGTCGTACCCTTGAGGAGCACCTCAGACACCTCCATGACGTTCTTGACCGCTTGCGCAGACATGGCTTCTACGCCAAGCTTAGCAAGTGCCGCTTTGCCCAGCATAAAGTGGATCTCTTAGGACACTACGTGTCTGACCAGGGTTTCCACATGGACGACGCGAAGATCACTGCTATTGCGGAGTGGCCCGCTCCCACATCCGCAAAGCAGCTCCGCAGCTTCCTAGGCCTGACCAGCTACTATAGTAACTTCATCCGGGKATACGCTAGGTATTCCTACGTCCTTACCTCCACCCTCCTCCGGAAGAACCCACCCTGGGCTTGGACACCCCTCCACGAGGACGCCTTCCGCGCCCTCAAGAAGGCGGTGACATGCACACCGGTTCTTTACCTACCCGATTTCGACCGCCCTTTTATCCTTACCACCGATGCATCAGACTTCGCCGTAGGAGCAGTGCTTTCTCAGCTCTTCCCCTCATCTCCTGATTCCTCTCATCCTCGTATCCCTCGCTTCCCACCACCTACCCCTACCACTGCTTCCCGACTGACGCTTACTCGTCCAGCTACTGACGAGCCTTCTATTGACTATTCTCCTACAATCGCCGATGACGGCACTGTCGAGTCTCGCTCAGGTGATTGTCCGATAGCCTTCTACTCCCGTCAGCTCCTGCCCGCCGAGATAAACGACACTGCTGATGAACGTGAGGTTCTCGCAGTAGTTTATGTCGCTCGACACTGGCGTCACTACCTGCACGGGGCACCATTCACGGTGCGCATGGACAACTCTGTTGTCCAGGCTTTTCTGACAAAGCCAAAGCTCACTCCTCGACAGGCTCGCTGGTGGCGCGACCTATCCGAGTTTAGTTTCACCACTGAGCACATCAAGGGTGAGACTAATCGGGTCGCCGATGACCTATCCCGGCGCCCTGACCACGACCAGGAGCACATCCAGCTCTCTTCCATCTCGGTCAGCACCGTCCACCACTCGGTGATCGACGAGTTTCGCACTCAGGACCACCACTGCCCCGACTATCGCGACATCCACGCGACCCTTCAGAGTGGCAAGACCGTCCCGAACTACTCTCTCGGGGACAACGGTCTTGTGTACCGGCACGGTTCACAGGGCACCAGAGAGCCCCGTATTTGTGTTCCCTCCACTGGACAGCTACGTGTCCGAGCAGTAGCAGAGTTCCATGACCAGGCACCTGCCGGTCATATGGGCTTCCACAAGACGTTGGCTCGTGTGAGCCGCCTGTACGTCTGGCCGAAGTGCAAGGACTTTGTGAAGGACTACGTCGCAGAGTGTCCGACCTGTCAGGAAGTGAACAGTGTGAACCACTTGCCTTATGGCTTGCTCCAGCCTCTTCCCATCCTTGAGGGTCGTTGGCAGTCCATCTCGATGGACTTTATCGGTCCTCTTCGTCCTCCGACCCCTCGAGGTCATGATGTTATCCTGGTCGTCGTCGACCGCTTCACGAAGCGTGCACGCTTTGTTCCGTGCTGCTATGCCCTCAGTGCACGTGAGGTCGCCGACATCGTGTTTGACCGAGTCGAGCGTGACCACGGCTTACCTCTGAGCATCATATCTGACCGTGACCCGCGCTTTACCAGCCGATTCTGGCGACGGCTCCACGAGGTGTACGGCACTCAGCTCCGCTTCTCCTCGTCTTACCATCCTCAGACTGATGGTCAGACCGAGATCACGAATAGGACTCTGGGGGATATTCTCCGAAAGATTGTTCGTGACGACCAGCAGTGGGATCTCCATCTTGCCCATGCGGAGATAGCCTACAACCACGCCGTCTCGCCAGCCACGGGGATGTCGCCTTACTATTGCGACCTCGACTATCACCCGTGTGTTCCCGCGGACTTCCTTCGACCGTCCCAGATGCACCCCGACACGAGTTGTCCCGCGCTGGATGATTGGGTTGCACACATGACGTCGATTATGAAGACCTCACATGAGCACATAGCCGCTCCCCAGACTCGCATGGCAGCACGTGCGAACCGATCGAGGATGGATCACCCATTCAAGGTCGGTGATGATGTGCTTATCGACGCCCGCCACTTACAGCTCGAAGCGGACACACTTCGCAAGTTTCGGCGTCGCTTCTTTGGCCCATGCTGCATCCTCCACGCCGTCGGTTCTGATACGGCATCTACACCAGGCTTGTGTGCATGATGTCTACCACGTCTCGTTATTGCGTCCTTACCGCAGACCGTCTGAGCGTTTCGCTGGACGACCATACGAGCGCCCTCCACCCATCATGGTGGACGGCCACGAGGAGTTCCTCGTTTCAGACATCATTGGTCGCCGAGTCACAGACGACAACCCTCCCCACGTCGAGTATCTCGTACGTTGGAAGGGTTACCCTGATGAGGAGGCTACCTGGGAGCCCCTCGAGCACTTGCAGCACGCTCGCATGTTGGTGTGTGCCTATGACCGTGCTCGTCGTGCTGGGTTCACTGCTCCTCCTCAGCCTACTGACCCTCCTCCTCCTCCTCCGGCTGAGGAGACCGCTGAAGTTGAGCCTGCTCCATCTGAGGCAGACCTTCAGCAGCAGCCGGATGCTTCTGAGCGTCCACAGCGCACTCGTCGTCGTCCTGCTCGATACGACGATTGACTCCGACTTACCTTCCCACGTCTTTGACTTCTCAGTACTCCATCCACATCAGTTTTGCTACTTCAGCTCGTCGACGCTGCGGCTCTTCCTCGACGACATTCCGGACTTCTCATCGTGGACGTCATCGGCAGCTTCATGGACTTCATCACGATCAGCTCTGCCTACTTCAGACGTCGCCACTCTCTTACCACTCTACCCTGTACAGTACCCTGCTTGTGTCGCATGATGGTCTCCCGTTAGYCGGGTTCCTCTGAGTTGGGCTCTCCCTTGGTATACGCATAGGCATCGGGACCGTAGCGTTGCCCTGGCTTCCCATCTTACGGATCTAGCTCCGACTTCCCTCACTTTAGGAGTCATTTGCATGATTCCCTTACCCATCATCTTTCTACCCTTCGCCGACCCTCACGCCCTAGTTAGGCAGCCCCGCATACTTCATCTAGGTGCGCCGAGTATACCAGGCTCCCTTGTTCCCTTGCATGGTCGACCCTCCATAGCGGTCAGCCCTTAGTCGAGCATTACGCGCCCTGATGGTCTATCTGTTAGGGTCATGGTTCTGTTCGCTCCCAGTTCCCTACCCTCATTGAGCCTGATGACATGTGTTTTCCCCTGTCACTATGTGTGGATGCCCTTAGGAGTTTTCGACCCCTAGGCTGCATTCGCCATCCTCAGAGACCATCCCACCCTTTGGTGTGCGACACACTTCTCATGTGACATATGGTTGTCTTGTTGATTGCTTTRTTGCTCTCAGACTGAGGYTACTRCCTCCRACGTTTCTAGGATTTAGYTGTTCTGCTTTTGCTGTTCTTAGGACTTATACACTAGTCAGTTGTTACCAGACTGAGGCTAGTGCCTCCAACATTCTAGGATCTAGTTGTCACTACTTTTGCTTTCCTAGGACATGTATGTTAGTTAGTAGCTTCTACTTTCACTTAGGCTGTTAGCTGTGACATTGCTGTTTTGTGACATTTTATATCCTAGGTTGCATCGCATGGACTCAGCATGGAGCTTGTTCCGCATCCTAGACTACTCAGGTTTTCTTTTCTTTGGTAGAGTTCCGCTTCTTGGCGGAAGCATGTTTGTATCTAGGCGATCCATCACAGGCCGAGGATCGTGTAGCGGACCTCGGGTTGGCCTGTGAGACCAGCCCCTTGGCCTGTTCTCACAGGCCTGTGTTATATTCGGGGTAGGCCAGTCCAGGCCGGTACCTCTGTTGGTACCAGCCAGTCCAGTCCAGTCCCGTCAGTCCGCTGGGGTATACTCCAGCCATTGTTTGTTTTCAGTCTCATTCCTCACTCGCACATTTTGGAGTACGTGCGTTGGAGTCTTGCATGGGAAGCTGCATTGTGCCATCTTGCTCCCCCTTCTTCCTCCATCTCCATCTCTGTCACTAACGGAGCACCACACCTGGTGGGTCCGCTACATTGTTCCTGGCACTGCCTATTCCCATCAGTTCGCTCATGCCGGCCCCGATTGGACCCACAACGACCTCGTCCTCGACACCAAGGATGGAAAACAATACTGTATTCCGTTGTTGGGCAAATCGGACTCTACATCCCCCTCTCCTGTCAATGTTGCCATCTTGACACCAACTCAGTTCCACCACATCCTTCGTCAGCCTTATGCCGAACTCTACATTGTGGACATCACGGATCTCCTTGTCTGTAACTCTATGCATCAGGACGCTGAGCTGGTCGAGCTCGGCCCACCACTCCCTGAGCCCCCCAAGCCTCCTGACCCTTCAGCCCCCTCATCCCCTTTCACCCCTGCTAACTCATCTCATCTTCTTGCATCTTGTACCATGGAGGCACCATCGGTACCTATTCCCATACCGACTCCTTCCACCCCTGCTTCAGACGCCGCTGCAGCCAAGGAGTTTGACAACCTCCTATCGACTTTGCAGCCTCGCGTTGCAGCCCTCCTTCGCGAGTATCGCGATGTTTTCCCTCCAACTGTCTCTTATAGCAGCATCCCTCTTATGCGCGAACCTAACTACCGTATTCAGCATCGCGCCTCATATCGCCTCTCGGTTCCCGAAGCCCAGGAACTTAAACGCCAAATGGACGAGCTACTCTGTCAGGGCTTAATCAAACAGAGTACGTCCCCATGGAGTGCACCTGTCCTCTTCGATCGCAAGAAGGACGACACTTTCTGCCTCTGCCTCGATTACCGCGGTCTCAACGAATATACGGTCAGAAACAGTTATCCTATGCCCCGTGTGGATGATCTGTTCGACCGCCTCTCCGGCCACCACTTCTTCACGAAGATCGATCTTCGTAGCGGATATCACCAGATCCGCGTACCCGAGGAGGACCAGCCTAAGACCGCTTTCCGTTCTCGTTTTGGGCACTACGAGTTTACCGTCATGCCTTTCAGTCTCCGTAATGCCCCTGCCACCTTCCAGACGGCTATGAACACGATGTTCCAAGACCTTCTTGAGGACTCGGTTCTAGTCTACATCGACGACATCCTGGTCTACAATCGTACCTTAGAGGAGCATCAGACCCACCTTCGCACTGTCCTCCAGCGATTACGCGACCATGGGTTTTATGCGAAGTTCTCCAAATGCCACTTCGCTCAGCTCAAAGTCGACTTCCCTGGGCATCAGGTCTCCGAGCACGGACTCCACATGGACGACTCGAAGATTCAGGCCATTGTCGACTGGCCCACTCCTACCTCTCTTCTTGCGCTGCGTATTTTCCTTGAGTTGACCAACTACTATGGTTATTTTCTTAAAAACTACGTACAGTATTCTTCCCAGCTTACCCCTCTGACCCGCGGACGTCTACCTTTTCATTGGACCCCGGCGCACGAGGATGCTTTCCGCTCTCTCAAGCGACTTGTCACGTCAGCTCCTGTCTTACACTTACCCGACTACTCGCGTCCATTTATCGTCACCACCGACGCATCCGACTTCGCTATTGGAGCTGTTCTCTCCCAGATCTACCCAACCCCCTCTACTTCTCCTGATTCCACAGAGTCCCACCTCCCTCGCATTCCTCGCTTCCCTCCTCCACCTCCAGCGACTGCGTCTCATCTTGCACCCATCGAGCCCACCCCCCAGGTGCTCCACCCCCTTATATTCCATACGTCGCTGATGACGGTACAGTCGAGTCTCGCGATGGAGAGTGTCCGGTTGCTTATCTATCTCGACAGCTACTTCCCGCTGAGCGTAACTGTACTGCCGACAAGTGTGAGGTCCTTGCGCTGGTCTACGTTGTTAAGAAGTGGCGTCATGATTTGCACGGTCATACGTTCATCGTTTTGACGGACAACTCTGTCCTCGCCGCCTTCCAGACGAAGCGTAAGCTCACTTCTCGTCTGGCTCGTTGGTGGCGTGACCTCTCCAAGTTCGATTTCACCATCAAGAAGATTTCAGGCGAAAGCAATCGTGTAGCAGATGCCTTATCCCACCGCCCCGACCTTCAGTGCGAGGATCGTCAGCTATCTGCTATCTTAGCTCCGACCATCCACCCTGCCTTTCTAGATGAGTACCGCCTTGCATACACCCAGTGCCCTGAGTTTCAGTCCATCTATGCTGACCTACAGGCTGGCAAGTTCGTCCCTAACTTCCAGCTCGATCCCTCTGGACTCCTATACTGGCTTGGTTGCCAAGGTAACCGTACTCCTCGCTTACGTGTGCCCTCTACTGGCCAGCTCAGTGTTCGGGCTGTCGTTGAGTGTCATGACCAGTGCGCCGCCGGCCATCTCGGTGTCTTCAAGACACTTGACCGCCTCTACCGCCATTACTACTGGGAGCACCGTCGTCCTTTCACTAAGGAGTACGTTCGCACCTGCATGATCTGCCAGGAGACCAACATTTCCAACCACCCCCCCTATGGTCTTCTTCAGCCCTTACCCATTCCTACTGAGCGTTGGACGTCAGTCTCCATGGACTTCATTGGCCCTCTTCGTCCCTCTACCCCACGAGGCCACGATGCCATCTTCGTCGTTGTCTGTCGGTTGACTAAGCATGCTCACTTCCTCCTTTGCAAGTATGTTAGTTTAGCCAAAGACATTGTCTCCCTATACTTCAACCGTATTGTCATCCATCACGGTCTTCCCATCAGCATCGTCTCTGATCGCGATCCCCGCTTTACTTCTCATTTCTGGCGTGGACTCCATGAGATCTATGGCTCCGAGCTCCGCCTCTCCTCCTCCTATCACCCCCAGTCAGATGGACAGACCGAGTTCAACAACAAAACTTTTGGTAGTATCCTCAAGAAGTTTGTTGAGAATGACTCTGATTGGGATCTGCATCTTGCTCACGCAAAGATTACTTATAACCATGCTATTTCACCTGCCACTGGCATGTCTCCCTACTACTGTGACTTGGGATACCATCCTCCTGTTCCATCTGACCTCCTCCGTCCATCTCAGATCCATCCCGACACCAAATGCCCTGCCCTCGATGACTAGGTAAAGGAGATGGATGCGCTTCTTAGCAAGGCTCGCGAGAGCATTGCTCACTCCCAGACTCACATGGCCACTCGCGCTAACCGCTCTCGCATCGACCATCCCTTCAAAGTTGGCGACGAGGTTCTTGTCGACGCACGTCACTTCCAGCTCGAAGTTGACACACTTCGGAAATTCAGAC